GCCCTCCCTCCCCCCCTCATTCCCCACTCCCCATTCACCTCTCTCCTTCCCAGGGAAGAAACTCAATCATCATCTTTTATCAATTATCAACACCAGTGCGAATACTGTGTGACTAAACCGCTTTGGTGGATAGTGGCCACAGACAGTGAACGCAACTGGAATGACGCTCTCCCCAGTCCAAACCGAGTACTTTCGCGTATAATTTAGTTACAGTGAGTTGATTACGAAGACGGTAGCAAGCTACAGCAAGCTAGTGGAGAACGCCACGGGTGCCTACGTTGTTTACCCGCTTCGTTATTACGTTATGTGCGCAAGGTTAGGCTACACCGCCGCGTGACCCCCACCCCCCCGGGGCTACAACGCCATAATGTGATCCCGGGTGGACGCGCTATTTATAATGCTATTAATTATATTTATAGTTACAATAATTATAATCATAATAATTATAATGCGTTGACAAGCGTGGCGCACACGACACGTGCACAGAAAAATTCCGCCAGAGGGCTTCCCGGTGACGTCACTCGTCCGGGAAGACGCTTCCCCCACTCCTTGATGGCAGCTGTCGCTCTGATTAAAGCTTATGCGAAACCCCCTCCAACTACGTATTTTAAACATAGTATGTGTATATGTAGTAGTAGTAATGTGTAGTTATGTTATTTTTCAACTGTATTGTATTGAAGCCGCTGCGACATCAAACGAGCTTGCCCAATCAAACATCGGAGCCGCAGCTCAGCCACCCGCGATCTCTGGCGTCGCTCGAATAAAACCGATCCCCGAGCAGACGCGCGTTAAACGTGTCATCTTTCATTCGCGAGGGAAAAAACGCGAATTTCATGTTTAGCGTTTGCCGTCACGCGTCGTCGAACCGCGCTCGACTCGGAAACGTCGATTTGATGCGCGATTTTTTTGCGGCCACGAGTCGTTTGAATCGCGCCGGTTTTTCCGATTCACTATAATGGGCGACGGAAAGCTGTCAGTTGAGGTAGACGGATGAGTTCCAATATGATCTGTTTAGTAGGTGAACTGTTCGTGGTGGTGTTCGTTTCGTGACTGATCGCCCCTTCTATTTACGTCCTCCCCCTCTGTCCATCTGCCTTTCTTCCCCGCTATCTACTCATTCCGCCTTTACTGCTACACCCACATATGCCCTGCCTTCTACGCACCTCACCTTTCAATATCTACCCACCTCACCCTTCACTATCTACCCACCTCACCCTTCACTATCTACCCACCTCACCCTTCACTATCTACCCACCTCACCCTTCACCATCTACCCACCTCACCCTTCACTATCTACCCACCTCACCCTTCACCATCTACCCACCTCACCCTTCACTACCTACCCACCTCACCCTTCACTACCTACCCACCTCACCCTTCACTATCTACCCACCTCACCCTTCACTATCTACCCACCTCACCCTTCACTATCTACCCACCTCACCCTTCACTATCTACCCACCTCACCCTTCACTATCTACCCACCTCACCCACCACCATCTACCCACCTCACCCTTCACTATCTACCCACCTCACCCTTCACCATCTACCCACCTCACCCTTCACTATCTACCCACCTCACCCTTCACCATCTACCCACCTCACCCTTCACTACCTACCCACCTCACCCTTCACTATCTACCCACCTCACCCTTCACTATCTACCCACCTCACCCTTCACTATCTACCCACCTCACCCTTCACTATCTACCCACCTCACCCTTCACTATCTAC